CTATCTTTTTCTCTTTGAATTGATAGTTTTAATGGTGCTCAGTGAGTAGTCTTTTTAGGGAATTGAGATGAGTTAGGTTTAGGGAACTTTAGGCGTAATCTATGATGTCTTAGTGTTAATTCTTCCATTTCCTTTTTTGATTGCTGTGTTTAATGCCTGATTAGCTCTAGCTAAGTTGATTAGGATCTTAGGCTCATTTTAAGCCCACCAAGTGTTTGATGAAATGCCTAAACTGCTTTGCAAGAGAATTGCTTATCCTAGCTCAAGAGATTGACTATCTAGGGAGTGATTTGGCCATATAGGATTGAATGCTTGTCTTAATGCTTGCTGTTTATCATTTCACTAATGAGAATTAGTTTTTGACTTGGTAATTGGCAAAGAGATTAGTGCCAAGAGATTAGATTAGTCATATAAACGAATTTTATGCATAAAGAATAGCATTGCGTGAGTTTGTAAGCATCATATGTTGAGTTAAGAGTTCCCTAGCACCAATTATGTCATCTCAAGTCCCATGTTTTCTCTGTTTTTAGTTGAATTCGAATTTGCTCTGTTTTACCTTTGTTCTAGTTGCTTTGCTTGCTTTTCACTATTTGTTTGATGTTCTCTTCACTTCTGTTTGATCATTTAAGTTGTTAAACACTTCAATCTTATCTATATCTGCTTGAATTAGGAACTCTACTGCATTCTTACTGCTTCAATCTTCCCCTTTCGGATTGATAAAACTCTTACTACAATGATTAGTACAAAGGATGATTGAGAAAGAGACTCAAAACTCTTGTATCAGTTGTATGAGAAGGCTCATCCAAGATACCGTTTACAGCAGGTTGGTCTAATTCACGATCAAACCCCCTAACAAAGGCTTGGTCAATTTCAAGAAGGACGCGGAGATGAAAGGGTTACTTCCGACACCAGCACTCAAGCCTAATGATCAACAAAACAAACCTTGTCAATTCCTGACAAACAAGGAGATGGCCAAACGCAGAGCTGATGGACTTTGTTATTATTGTGATGAGAAATACACACCTGGACATTTTCTTAAGCACAAGAAAACACAGATATTCATGATCAAAACAGTGGGCGACGAAGATGCGGAGTGCACAGAGGAATCAATCGAACAAGAACAAACATGTGACATTGCTCATATCTCCTTTAACGCTGTGTCCGAGATATCTGATTACAACACCATGCGAGTTCGTAGGTATCATGGCAAAAGAGCATTGATCGTTTTAATAGACTCTGGTTCTACTCACAACATCATCGATACAAAGATGGCAGCAAAATTAGATTGCAAATTGGAAACCTCCGGTATTTCTCGTGACAAGGTAGCAGATGGACGTCTTTTGGGAGATACTGCTAAGATCAACCAATTTCAATGGCTCTTTCATAACACTTATTTTCAAGTGGATGTCATGGTTATTCTGCTAGGTGGTTGTGATATGGTATTAGGTGTGCAATGGTTGGAGAAATTGGGCCCGATTACTTGGGATTTTAAGAAGTTTGAGATGCAGTTCAAATGGGAGCAAAAGAAGGTTTTACTTCATGGTATAAAACAAGGATCAGTTCGACAAATTAAGGTAAAGAATCTGAATAAGTTGCAGGATACTGAAGTGCAGATCTCTATGATTTATTCCCAGAATCATGTTGAAGACCACCAGATGATGTTGTGCTCTCTTGAAGCGACATCGCCTTCACTAACAGCATGTTCCTTAATCGAGGAATTGTTGAGCAAATTTGCGGATGTTTTTGCAACCCCTACAACCTTACCACCACTTCGAGAACACCATAATCATCAGATCCCCCTCTTATAAGGCTCCAATCCAGTGAATCAACGGCCGTATAAGATAGTACAAGAGCTGTAAAGCTCCGGAACGATTCAGCCCAGTTCGAGTTCATATGCTTCTCCAGTAGTGTTGGTCAAGAAAAAAGATGGAACTTGGCGACTCTGCGTGGATTATCGGGAGCTGAACGACAGGATAGTTAAGGATAGATTTCCTATACCACCAATTGAAGATCTCATGGATGAATTAGGAGGGTCATCTATTTATTCAAAGATCGATTTAAGAGCAGGATATCATCAAGTCAGGATGCATCCACCAGATATTCATAAAATGGCTTTCAAGACTAGTGGCCATTATGAATATCTAGTAATGCCATTTGGTCTTACTAACGCCCCTGCGAACTTTCAGAGTCTGATAAATGCCGTTATCTGAATCTTGTTGCGCAAGAATGTTCTCATCTTCTTCGATGATATCTTGGTTTACTGTTCTTCTTCGGAACTTCATGTGGCTCATCTCCGAAGTGTGTTTGAATTAATGCGCCAGAACTGTTTGTGTGCAAAACGAAGTAAGTGTTCACTTGCAACATATAAAGTCGAGTACTTGGGGGCATTACATCGAAGTAAAAGGCGTATCTACAGATCCCCGCAAGGTTCAAGCTGTTGCGTACTGGCCCATACCGGTTAATCTCAAACAACTTTGTGGATTCTTAGGCTTAGTAGGTTATTATCGGTGCTTTGTCAGAAATTTTGGAACTATTGCTCAACCTCTGACAACGTTGACATAGAAGGACTCTTTTGTCTGGTCCGACGAGGCTACTGTTGCTTTTCAGCACTTGAAACAGGCTCTATGCATTGCACCTGTATTAGCTTTACCCTTGTTTGACAAACCTTTTATGGTTGAAACAGATGCTTGCAGTCAAGGTGTAGGTGCTGTACTAATGCAGGAGGGCCATCCTTTAGCTTACATAAGTCGTCACTTAAAGGGAAAGCAACTCCATTTATCGATTTATGAAAAAGAACTTTTAGCAGTGGTGTTTTCTGTGCAGAAGTGGCGCCATTATTTACTCACTGGTCATTTCATCATCAAAATGGATCAACGGAGTTTAAAATACTTGTTGGAGCAGCGATTAAATACTCCGATTCAACAACAATGGCTTTCGAAGCTGCTTGAATTCGACTATGAGATTCAATATCGTCAGGGCAAGGAAAATTTCGTGGCTGATGCTCTGTCTCGCATTGAAGGGGTGGAAGTTCTTCACATGGCAATGTCTGTGCTGGGTTGCGACTTGTTGCAGCAAATTCAGGAGTGTTGTGATAGAGATTTATCAGTCAAGGCAATTATCGAGTCCTTGAAGCAAAACCCGCAGTCCAAAAAGCATTATTCTTGGACACATAATATCCTACGGTGGAAGAGCAAGATTGTGGTTTCTTTGGATGTTACGGTTCAGAACAAAATCTTGGAGTCTTTACATTGTTCTAGTGGAGGGGGTCACTCTGGTTGTGATGTCACTAATCAAAGGGTTAAGGGCTTGTTTTATTGGAAAGGTATGTCTAAAGATATTCAAGCCTATATTCGCAGCTGTAATGTATGTCAGCAGTGTAAGTACGATACTGCAGCATCTCCGGGATTGATTCAACCCCTGCCAATTCTTGAGACAATCTGGACTGTTATATCAATGGATTTTATCGATGGCCTCCCTAAGTCCTTTGGCAAAACTGTGATTTTTGTGGTTGTTGACAGATTGAGTATACCAGCTCACTTCATGTCTCTTTCTCACCCTTATACGGCAGCATCAGTCACCCAAGCCTTCCTCGACAATGTCTTTAAACTTCATGGATTCCCTCAATCTGTTGTAAGTGATCGAGACGCTGTTTTTCTTAGCAAATTTTGGAAATAATTGTTCAGCTTACAAGGTGTTGCCTTAAACCTTTCGAGTGCGTATCATTCTCAAAGCGACGGTCAAACAGAGGTGATGAATCGGTGTTTGGAAACTTATTTAAGGTGTATATGTAGTGATCGACCACATTTATGGAGTAAGTGGCTGCCTTTGGCAGAGTTCTGGTACAACACAAATTACCACACAATAGTCCAAATGACTCTGTATGAAGCTGTTTACGGACAGTCACCTCTGCAACATTTACCTTATCTTCCAGGCGAGTCAAAGGTCGCAGTGCTTGCTAAGTGTTTGGAGGACAGGGAAAACATGATTTTACTCTTCACCTTCTACGAGCTCAACATCGAACACAACAAAACGCTGATCAACATCGTACGGATGAAAACTTTGATATTGGCGATATGGTGTAAGTTAAACTTAACCTTACAGACAGAAGTCATTAGTGCTGTGCTCTAATCAGAAACTTGCACCAAAGTACTTTGGTTCCTATAAGATCATTGGCAAATGTGGACCAGTTGCTTACAAGTCAGAGCTTCCTGCAACTTTTCAAATAAATCCGTTTTTTCACATTTCCCAACTCAAGCTTCATGTTGGTCCGCTACAACGGTCAAGCCAGTTGCCTTCAATCGTTCCGGACGTGCTCATCAAGGAACCAGAAGAGATTTTAGAAAGGAAGATGGTTCAAATACAAGGACACGCGGCTACTATGGTTTTGGTTAAGTGATCGAGTCAATCTATAGAAGAGGCAGCATGGGAGTTTCTTTACGATCTACAACATCGATTTCTATTTTTTAAACCATGAGGACAAGGTTCTTCAAATGGAGGAGATTTGATATAAGAATATTACTTATTAGGAAAGTCACATAATTGACTAAGTTTTTATGATTGGGTTTTCTAAACAAGAAGTTTTCCATATTACTAAGTCAGTTTTATTTTCTTATATAAGGTTTTGTAATAAGCTTTGATACGATATCAATAAAAGTTTAAGAACTCTTCTCCTTCTCTCTTATCTTCTCTTTCAAGCAACGCTCAATTCCATCAAAGCATCAAGGTTCTTTGCGGGTGAGTACAGAATCCGTGTTTTAGGAACATTGATTTCGAGTTCTATCAGGTTATTCAGGAAACTGCAGATTTACCTCTATCACTGCGCCAGAGCTACGTGCTTCTCTATTCACTCCTAAGTCGTATCATCCCCCAAGACCACCATCGATACTGTCGCCGTAGTCTACAACTCTCACACGTGCTAAATCCTAATTATATACAAACGAATCTATATGGTACGCCAATTTCTCATCACCATTACTTTTTTTTTGTTCGTCAAATCAATTTGAAAATTGTCCAAAAAAGTTCTCTCTTCAAACGAACGTCTTCTCGATAATTTCTTGCACGGATTTAGTTGAGTGATCATGGTCCAAACCGAACCCAATCAGCCGAATGGTAAATTCGCCGTTATCTGAATCCTTTTTGACATTAATCGATTCCGGGAGATATTCGTATTGATTTTTGTCTTTTCTTGTTTCGAGTTTTGGAAGTTTTTTTGGAATTTTTCAAATCGTATTATTTCGGTCTAACTCGTGGTGGATCTTACAAGATGCAAATAACCTAGAAACGAGATAAGAATCTGTAATTCAATTTGCTCATCATAGAATTGTTGTTTGAAAATTTCACATTGAAGAGTATGATTGTTGTACAGACCATAGTTCATCTTGTGCAGAAGATTAGGATTAATGAATGGTGGCTAATTACATGATCCTCTATTTTGAATTTCTTTTTCAGACCAAGGACGAGAAAGAGAGGTTGAAGTACTTGGAATTTGTGCAAGCTGTTGTTGTTTTGAAGTACTTAAATTCGTGGAAGCTGCTGTTGTGGAAGCAGTGCTTCGCTTTGCTCTCATTTATGCAAAAGCAAAGAACAAGTCTGGTCCTTTGAAAGCAGGTCTTGAATCCGTTGAAGGAGATGTTAAGATTGTGGTCGGTCCTGTGTACCAGAAATGCCACGATGTCCCTGTCTAGGTCCTTAAATACATGGACCAGAAGGTGATATTGGCATTACCCTTAAAGACCTGAGCTTTCAGTGGGACGGAAGGTAAGTTGTTAATGCAACATTGATGTTTGAGGCCTCTTTCATTTTTGTAGCCTTTTACTTTGGGAGTGCTGTGTATAAATACTTTGCCTGTTCTTTATCTTTGTGTTGCAGGCATACAATGAAGTGCAGCGGTGTTTTCTGACTGTTGGCTTGGTTTACCCTGAAAATTTGTTTACATTTCTTCTTAGCGTAAGGACACATTTTGTTTGATATATATGGCTCTAAATATTCTTTAAATATGCACTGCGAAACTTTGGAAATACCTTGCACTTTTAATAGGCTCAAATTTTTTTTTCCCATACTTTAAACTGGCTATTTATGTTGAAGTGAAGTTTAAAATATCTGTCCTCCTTGTATATTTTCAGTAGAAATGCAAGTTGAAAGAAGACCCTTTGACGTTTGTTGCTCTTTCTGTCTTAAAACATCTGCTTCCGAGGTGTATTTTTTATCCTTCATCAGTACAATAAATTAATTTAGAGCTTATTTCTAATCACAACTTGATGATGTCTTGCGTTCAGAGGTTATTTGAAGTTTGGCACCCACAACGGCCTCTTTTGGTTGATGTTGCAAGGTCTTTGTTAGAGGAGCAAAGTTTATCTGTTCGAAAAGCTCTTTCAGAGGTACTGAACTGGCATACGTTGTTATATTTTACTACTAAAATATGCATGATTTTGCATGCCCATTGATTTTGTTCTCCTGCTTTGATGACAGTTGATTGTGGTCATGGCTTCACATTGCTATCTGGTCGGTCCGTCTGGGGAATTATTTGTTGAATACCTTGTACGCCACGCTGCAGTAGAAGAGATTGACAATCTGAAGGTAAGACCAGATAACATAATAAATTACTTACAAAATAAGGTGTGACAAGGAAGAGGGAAAAATATTTTGTTTCTTGACGAATAATATTATTACAAAGAGATTTAAATATTGGGATAATTTCTGAATTAACCCACTTAACAATTTAAACATGAGCTTTTCTAAAATGACTCATAAGAGAGATCTACTAGTTTGCTTTCAATATGCTGTTAGTTTGCCAGTAATTTGCAATAAGTCTAGCATTAGTCTGTGAGTAGTCTACATTCAATTATTTGACCAAACAATCTGTTAGTCTATAAATAATACTCCATCTGTTTCATAATAAGTGTCATTTGGAGAAAATGTATCTGCAATGTATCTGGATGTATTAAACTCAAAACACATCCAGATACATCCAATGTATCTGCAATGTAGAAGGATAGTGTTGATATTTTTTAAAATCGTAAAAAAAGGTCATTTTCACAATTTTCCTTCAATGGGGTATCCATTTCACATTTTTTTTTTTATTTTGAGTCATTTTGGAGCATTTCCTCTTAATCAAAAGGGGAACCAGTTAGTCTAACACAGCTAAGAGCAGTCTTTGTGGAAAAGGTCTTCTTCTCTTGACCGTTACAATCCCGGAGATGGAGGTGCTTTTTAAAAATTTGTTTATCCCATTTACTAAGAAGTTTCAGATTCTAATTCTAAAGAGGATTTAAAATTGCAGTACATTCTTTGGCCTTTCCTACTGAAAATGATTATCCCTAGGGTTTACACTGGCGCTATTGCTATTCTTTTGTTCTTGACTTTATCTAATTTCCTTTTTAAGCAGATGCATATCTGAACTGTCTCGTCGTAGATCATCAACTACCCCCCCCCCCTCCCCCCCCCCTGATTGAGTGTAAAGCTCGTGCTGATATTCCCTGCCCTGAGGTAAATTTGATATCATGTGTCTTGTCATATGATCTATAAGTTTTGTTGTGTATGGTAAGATCTCAAAATTGAAAAACACGTATGCACATATATTATAAATGCAGAAGTTGTTTACCCGTTTGGTGGTTCTTTGCACAATCCTCTGGCAAAAGAGCAGTTAGCAACCCAAATTTTGACGGTAAGTATGTGTCAGTAACTTCAGAAAATCCTGTTGTACACTCACATTCTATCCCGTATTTTCGTAAAATAATTTCTCTACTCCTCTTCTTCATCAAGTGTAAAATGCCTGATCGTTATAGGGGCAAATTCTTGTAAATAGCTCATATGTGCTTCATCTTCTCTAACCAGAGTATTTCATCCTTCATGTTCTGTCTTTATTTAACTAGTCTGTTCTTACTTCATTCAGGTCCTTGGCTATCTGTCCCCTCTTTTTCCGAAGAACATAAGCATGTTTTGGTGGATCTAAGTGAAGAAAATGAGAGAAAGCAGTGAGTATGACTAATTAACAGAATTATCAATTTGTATATGAAGATAATATTAAGGCGGAATTTTAGAATTGCGCGATTAGATGATTTCTAAAGGGAGGCAATCAATAAAATTAGTAATCTGTATATGATAATATTAAACCGCCAATGTAAATACTGGAGAAGTCATTGGAAAATGGAATTATGCTAATCAAAGGCGAGTGAAGGTCAATAGACTCACTACAATACATCCACAGAGTTATAAAATGTTCAACTTCTTCTTTTAACCAAAACAATCATTGTTGACAAGTGAGCAAAGCTATACAATTTCTATTAACTATTGAAATTTTTATGATACCTCTTACACGAGGGTGTTCTTGTAGTGGTGTATATATTCTTAGACAATCCTTATTCTTGCAATGGTATATGAGATTGTAAACTCTTGATTCTTCTTAACAGTTGTTTCATAAATAAACACTAATAGTTTCTATCGTTAAATTTCTTTCTCTCATTTCTAATTTTCTGAACAGGATGTCAAATATACAAAACATCAAATCTATTATAGCAATTTTTTTAACCTTTTATCCTACTTACAGCAGCAAGGAATCGAATGCCCGTTGGGATAAAAATACCGGGGACCACATATAAAGTACTCCCTTATATGTTTTAATCTGGCATGATTAAACACACGCTCCATAATATCATTTTCAAAAATTCAAATATTTAACTGGCACTTGATTTTAGTCATTGCATTTGATACACAACAATACTTTATAGTTATGAAAGTAATGAGTTTACAGATCCAAAAGTTCATTTCTTTGCACAGTATTGTCCTAAACAGGACGTAATTTTTCAGAACCTTATGGACTTATGCTATTATTAGAGAGAAATCTGATGGATCGAATCCATTTCAGGTGACCTTTATCGCAAATCTTGATTTCATACCTTTTAAAACTTTAATAGAAGAATCACAAGAGAATAAATTTAAGAGGATTTCTGAACGTATGAACTCAGACTTTAGATGACCTCATTTTCTATACAACAATTAATGTCGCTATGTCTCCATCTGCGTTTATTTTTAAAATTTAATGTTGCTTCTAAACCTAATTTTGCCATTAAATTTTATTTTATTTTTGTCGGTATTTGTGTTGAATGGTTTAGTTGACTTGATGTTCATTTGAATATCTTTGAATTTAATTATTAAGAAAGTTTACAATACTTATATTCATGTGAAAGTTTACAATACTTATATTCATGTGCCCATTAGTTACCGAAAATTTGGTTTCTTTAGGTTTTGCTGATGGTATGCAGGAGCAGTGGAGCAAAGTTCTTATTCTCTCTATGAAAATGAAATCTACCGGTTATCAACAGTAAACTAAAGAGAAGTGTTGATGGTAAAGAAAGCAAAGTTCGAACTATTGGGGTATCTAAAGGAAGCAAAGAAAGCCCAGACGCTTTTCTTCATTGCTACCTTCCCAATTTCTATTATGGATTAGAGACAATTATGGTTCTCTGATTTTCTATGCTTATAGATTATCATTTATTTCAATTATCGATCACATGCTAATGGTCTGGATATAGAAAAGTTAGCAGGTGCACATTTTAAATTCTAAAATCTTCAATAAGTTATGCATTGTTAAATTTGATTTTCATTAAAATGTTTGGTGACTGTGACTTTTACTTTCAAATGGCACAAATATTGACTGGTGAAGTCATTGAAAGCTCACTTGGTGGATAACGTATCGGTTGGAAGGTAAGTTAATGTTGGGTTGATGAGGGTCAATTCTTGAAAAAAGAACGGCAATTGTGGTTGTGAGAATTATAGAATTTAGGGGTGGGCAATTTACAACGAGACCGCTCGTCTAAGTTAGATCCAGTGAATAAATTCAACGGTTTAGCATTTTTAAACAATCCTAAGTGAAATTTCTAGTTTATTACACTATATCCGTGCAATTAGAACAAAATTAGAACGAAAGAAAACCCTTGAATACGACTATGCGTATAATCGGATACATACTCAAAAATAATTATTGAAATTCCCCATAAGATTCTCCTTAAAGAAATCCAACAAAATAGATATGAATATATGCATGCTTAGACTAAATGGAAACAATTAAAAATCGAACAAAATAGATATCATGGATAAAAGAAGAAACGAGATGAATGAATGCATGCTTAGACTAAATTGTGAAAAGAAATAGGGTTCAAAAAGAAGATCTATCTCCCTAAAAAAAAGCAAAAAATAATAAAACTTTTTTCGATGACTTTTAGTATATGGTGGCACCCGAAAATAAGGTCACAAAACTATGTATTTATAGGTCTTGAAGTTTTTTTTGGCGTCACTTAGGGTTTGTTTGGTGTTGAAAACTAGTGGGTTTGACAGACTTTGCACATGTGATTTATATGGACATTTGATGGTGGTCGCATGATGGACTGATGGTGGTTGCATGATGGATTGAGGGTGGCATGGCTAAGAGACACCTAGCTGCAACTGTGCTGCTTATGTTTGACAGGCTTTCTTGTGCTTCATGTAACTGGGAATCTAACAACTTCGGCCGGAAATATAGTAGATCAGTCTATCTTTTCTCCAAACATCAGCTTGGTCAAGATATGCAAAGGTTTAGTTTGGGCACTGAACTTCTGTGATCTAGCACATGTTCGAAAATGTCTGTTTTGCTCTATTTTGCATCAAAGTTAACATGAAAAGAGTCTGACCATACAAATACTCAAAATATACTATAAATGAATGAAAAACAGAGTGAAACACTTATTAAAGTGTTCACTTATGATAACTAAAATAGGTAAAATATGCATATTATCGGCTCTCTTAGACTTAAAACTTTGTTTGCCCTCAAACAAACAAAAATCTTAGTAGGGAAAAGAGGTTTGAAAAATTCGAAAGTCACTAATACTTTGGAACTTATCAAGTCAATCATTTGACCTATTGAACCACAATACTCATATTCAAAATCCAGTAACGTTTCGGTCTAAATAACTTGAGTTTCGCGTTTGTCCCATATACAGTTCAAGATCCCTTAGTGTAGTTTAAGGTCACCTTTGTTGACTCCTTTATTCATTTAGGCGTTCTATCTCTTTTAAGAAAGTATTGGTCAAATAAACCATATACTTTGCTCTTCTAAACATCTGGACAAAGGCAGTTTCGATATAAGTCTCATATTTTCTCTTCCCTTAGTTGATATTCTCTCTTTCCTTATAGCTCAAAAAAGCTGCCACTCACTTTCGTGTTCCTTGTGTGAAGAGTATTTCATGAGTTTATACTCATCGTCTTCATCCTTTTCAAGTAATATAAAAAAGATATTGTATCAACTTATCTTGACAGTGTCTAAAAGAGCATTTAAGTTTGATGTAGCTCAAGAAGATATCAATTTATATTCATTTAAGTGCGGAGTCAACGCAAGTTCCTTCGAGTACACAGGAATCTGAGATTTTCCTAGTAGAAGGATCCACTTGCAGTGTTCAACCATAGCAGAGTTTGTTATTCCTGAATAAAAAGTATTTTTTTTGACTCTATAAAACGACTTGATTAAAAGAAAAATGTGTATGCAAAAGAATCATGAAATGAAACATAGATTGTAGTAGTAAACAAAACCCCCCAGACTTAAATCACATTATCCCTAACGTGAAACAATCGAGTGGGTGATTAAAATATAGATTATAATTAAAGTAAAAGATGTGAAGATTTACTTAAAAGTGGCATGTGTGATTGGACTTGATCATTCGTTTATAATTTTTGCCAACAGATGGATTCTTGTATTAATCTCGGATCCAATGACATAATGAACAGAGGAAATGGTGTCTCAACTCGAATAACAAAATATATCTTCCTTGTTTCCTGTTGATATGATGATTTCATGATATAAATATCATCCTTAGGCATGTTCATTGCCATGTTATCTTTCTCGTGAGTTACTTTTGGAAGAGGTTTGATCATATTGTTTGTGTTGCTTCCAATGCTTCGAGATGGTGGTAAGTGGTGGATGGTGATGGTTGTCTGTTGTTATGGCTCTTTGCATGTACTTGAGATAGCACTTGGCACCACGTTCTTGTATCCTTGACCTTCATAAACACCTTAAGAGTGAGTTGGAAAGCCTTCTAGACAAGAGTTTTAAAGATTGCACCAACTCAGGAACTTGTTGAGTTTATATCGAAGCTGGACACACCATGGATCGTTGGGGTCGTAGTGGACTGGTGTTTGGCTGCGCCATGAGATTTCATTGCCTGGTGAAAGCTCTGTTGGACGCGCCATGATAGGTCGGGTCGCGGTGAGAGTAACTCATCTTCTTAAGCTTATCTCTTCGCGTTTTAGTGAATGAAGTTGCATCTTCTTATTTCAATATGTTGTACAGTGCACCTAGGACTTAGAACCATTATTACTCCTTCAATAGATCTTCATGAGTAAACTCCTTGAAGCTCATGATGAAGTTGA